GTGACACAGCCCTGGTGATAGGGTGCACAGCGGAGAGGCACTTCTTGGTGCTGATAAGTCTGGTCTTTGTTATGTCTATTTGTGGGTGGGGTGGGAATTGTGGGAGGAGGGTGTTGATCCATGTCACAGGCAGCAAACATTGTCACTTGACCTTCTTTAGATTTTATAACTGTGTAGATTCTGCCTTTGCTGTTGAACCTAGTTCACAGAATGCAGTTTGAACCATAGTTTCTCATAAACAAGTGAAGACGTGTATCGAGTTGGTATTTGGCATCTGGCATTATCAGACTGACCTTAATGCTGTTCTGGGAAGTTACTTAGGTTTTCATGTAGTTTACTTAGTTGAAATGCTATTTAGCCTCTCCTGGAAATTCATGGTGTACCTGAGGCAGCTGCAAGAAATCTGCCTGCTGTATGTTGCTTTGTGTTAAAAGATGAAAAAATACTCTCAATTTCTGTGTGAAAGATTTATGTGGTATATCAAGTGAGATGGTCCTAAGAAATCTTACTGCAAAGTCTAAAACTAAGAAAGGTAATCTACAGATGCAGTGATGTCAAGTTTCCGTGTGTCACTCATGATGGCTTTTCTGGTATCCCTGTTTGTATTCCAGGAAATCACATTCTACCTGATGAAGATCTGGCTTCCTTCCATTGGAGTTTACTTGGTCCAGAACATCCACTAGCCTCACTTAAGGTACAGATTCATTTCATTTCCAACATTTCTTGATTTTGCTGTTACTTTCATAGTATAAATAACGTTTCTTTATTCTAGAAGGAAATATACCACAAAATCAGCAAAATTGGCAACTGCCTTAAAAAACAACCAACCCCGCCGTATCTTGTTCCCAGCACCTGTATTTTAGGGAAATGTATAAATGTCCTTAAAAATTCTCTTAGACACATTCTTCATGCCTTCTACCTAGATAGGTGAAAATCTTTTAGCTAAAGTTTTTATGTATTAATTTTCTTACTTACAAATATTAATTTTTCAACAGGTAGCACAATCTTTGGTTACTCAGATCCACATCTCAGCGAAGTTGATAAATTTCATAATTTTCTTACTAATTTTCTGAAATTGTAAGACTCCATTTACAGTTTTAAAGCTTTTCAATGATGGAGAGGAATTCCAAATTCATTTGAGAAATGGTCCCTTTGTACTGTTTTGTTAATACTTATTTTCTTATTTTTCTACTTCTTGTTTGTGAAAGTAATAAACATCCAAGAACATGCACTTAAATTTGAATTTTCTAAAGTGGGAACGTTTACTGTCTGATGAGCGCCTAGTAGTGGAATTGGTGTGAGCCACTGCGCATCTTGGAGTTGTACCTGTGAGTGGCTTCCTGTGATTTTCCACATTCCCTTTGCTGGGTGAATTGGCTCTGGCATTCTCGGCTTTGGCTTTGTGATCATTGCTGCTCTTTGTTTGGTGGGGAATTGGAAAGCTGGGACATAGACTGGCAGCCTGGGTCTCAGTTCCTCACAGCAATGGGGAGGTTGCGTGGAATGGTTTCTGAATGCACTTTTTCCTATAAAGTTCTGTCAGAATCACCCTCTCTCCATAAATCAGCTTAATTGGTGGTTAGTTTCAAATTGGAGTTTTTGTCTCTTAGCTTATAGAGCATTTTGGTGATACTTGCAAGTCCCAGTGGCACTCCTTTCCTGCCCCTGTCATCTTGTTCCTTGCTGCCCAGAGCCCCTTTCTTTTCCATTTCTTACCGATGGGGCCTCATGTTTTCCTTTCCGTTCTGACAGTGCTTGGTACGGCGCTTTTCAACTTCTGTTTGAAAGTTAAGTTTTTCTCCTTTTGTTAGCAAGTTCTCTTTTGCTTTTTTGTCCTTGAAGGAGAACAGCTTTCTCTTTGCTATTTGGCCGGAGTGTTCTTTATGAGTGTTCTCATTTACAAAGTGCTACACTTTGTATAATCTCAATTCTGAACTCCAGGTGATACTGTTAGTGAAATGCAGAACGGGAAAAATACAGTCTGAAATCAGATGGACTCAAAAGCATCGTGCTCCTTAGATTTGTCAAATTGAGACACAATGAAGGCTTGCTTTTTGAAGGTTTGTATAGTTTTGAGTAGCAGGGGTGAGGGGCTGCCACCAGGATCTCAGACCATATGTCTGAATTGAGCTGGCTTTGCTTCATGTGTCGGAGGTTAGAAGTGAGGAGGAATTACTGGAAAACAAACTTAACCTATTGACAAGTCACAACATCACTATCATGTATTTATCCTAATTGTTTGTTAAGAAAAATATTGAGTATGTAAAAAGTTGAAATAGAAAATGTTCATCGATATGTAGCCACCATCTTGGTCCAACAGTTAACACTTTGCTCTAAAATATACTTGTGTCTATGTGTTTGTTTTTTAACTCAGCTATTTAGAAGTAAGTTACAGATAACTTAACGCTTCAAAGTTTGTGAAAACTTTGGTTTATGTCACTACCACCTCAGAATAATCTCTTACTTATATTACTGTTCGCATATCAACTAAATTGATAGTTCCCTGATGTTGTTTAATATTAAGTCCACGTTCAGATTTTTCAGTTGTTCCCTGAAAATCGTTTATAAGATTGTTTCTTGTTTTTAAGAAATCGATTCAGTCAAATTTTGTGCATTATCATCATGTGTATTTTAGATATTAGCTGGCTACTTTAAAAAAATATTTTATTTATTGTATCATTAAAAAAATTATTTTTAATCAGCAGGAGGAGGTAATTAGGTTTTATTTTCTTTTTAGAGGAGGTACTGGGGATTGAACCCAGGACCTCAAGCATGCTAAGCATATGCTCTACCATGTGAGCTATACCCTCCCCCCAATAGCTGGGTGTTTTTATGGCATAATAGAGGAACAGTCCAAAATCATTTTTCAGTGACTTGATAGGTTGTAGGATTTCTAAAGTCACATTCTGAAAAGCAAGTATGTCTGACTTTGAGTGCAAAAATTACAAAACTTTTATGTTTTGACCTTTTATACATATTTCCGGTGTGTAGCATCGTTTTAATCATTTTAACCAAGACTGTGAGATTTTTTTCTTCATTAATGTTGCTACTCTGTACAGTTGTCTGTCTCCCATCTACTTCTTTAGTCTCTTTTTCCCAGTTATGAAACTAATTAACTACATCTTTTGAAAGTTCAATTCGTTGGTGATTATGAAACTTTCTTTTGATTTTTATTAGTTTCTTTTTAACACAGTATGTTGTATACACAGCTTTTAAGGATATCTGATTTTGTATCTCCAAGTTCAAGCATTCTTCTTATCCTGCTATATTTTACCAAAACATTCTGCCAAAATCATATCTACTGGAGGGTTGTTCACAGAAGGCTGGTGTTACATGAACTCACTGTCTAATCAATTCAAATCGCCCCTTAACGTGTAATACCGTAATCCTAACCCCCTCAGCATTTCCACATCACTGTCCACAGTGCTGGCTGGGCTCAGAGAAGAGCGTGCCTGCCTGGGGCTCTGTGGGTTGAGAAGCGAAAGTAGAACCCGGAGTGGTCGTGATAAACAGCTGAGACACTGAGACCATGGGATGGTAGCCAGAGCAGAGGCCAGGAAGGGAACAGAATTCTGTTTTGTGCTGCTGTATTAATCAGGGCCCGTGCTCACTAGGGCAGGAATGCCATGCTAGACATACTTAGAACCTAAAATCAGGTAAGGACAGTCAGAAAAAGGAAGTAAGGTGGCTGGTCAGGTTTTCAGCTTTTTAGTACTTCGATTCTCATGTTAAGAACTTCCAGTAAGGTAGCATCGAGTTTCTTAGATTTGGAAATAAAGAATATTTCATTTGTGTTCAGGACGGCGGAAGACTGTTTTAAGCAATGTAAAATTCTATATCCAGGGGTGGGGGGCCCTTTAGGATGTGATGCAGTCAGCCCTGGTGGAAGCACCTTCTGGCCATAAGCGTGTGCTAAATGAGTGCCCTTTTCTTTTGTCTTGATGTGCTTTTTGAGTTTTTTTAATTGTTCTATGGCTTTGAGGCCTTGTAAGCTGTGGAAATTTTTATTTGGGATAGGCATTTAGTTTTTTAATTAAAAACACTTTTAAGTTGAATCATTAGTTGCAGGTCATTCACTGTGTTCATTTTAATGGCTTCTGTGTTCCTAAACTTTATATTCAGTCTCGCGTATTTTGAGGTTTTTATCCCTGTCAGTCATTCATGATCCCCAAGTATTTCCAGCCACAGAGTTCTTTCGCCCTTTCCTTGATATTGGACAAGCCACCTTGCAAGTTACATGCCAGCCTTTCCTCTCCCCAGACCTCATACAAGTGTTATTCTCCTGTACAGCTATTCAGTCTGTATTTTGGTCTCTCTGTACCACTGCCCCAACTGTGACAAACAGGCAGAAGAGGCCCTTCCCCGCTCACACTGTCTCCCCCCTCCCCAGACCAGTTCTGCCCATCAGCCGCTGGCCAGGCCGGCGTGGGTGCCACTAGGATTCCCTCTTCCCCTGCGTGTCTAGTGAAAATGATGCCTGGAAGCTCCCTTGCTCGCTCCTGCCTCTGCTCAGAGCTCCATCTAAGTCCTAGCCCTTGCCCATCTCTCTTTCTGATTTAAATAGTCTTTAGTATTTATAACCCTGCTTCTGGGTTCACTTTTTTTTAGTTGCCTGTCTTTGTGAGCATTATGTTTTCCCTGAGACAGCTGGATACCAGGGCAGTCTATCAGGTCAGTTCAGAAACAGTTTGTTTTAAATTTACCTAGAATTTTACCAAAAGTTATCTCTAACTATACTTCTCACATCTTACTGTCTGCCACCAAAAATCATCGAGCAGTCTTTTTTACAAATGTCTTTGGGGACAGGATATGGCAGTCAACCCCAGGGAGGAGGGAGTCTGGTTCTGGGAAAGTAGCACGTCACAGTCCCCAGGAACGTGGAGGTGGACATCCCAAAGGGCCGCCCACCCCTGGATATAGAATTTTACATTGCTTAGAACAGTCTTCCGCTGTCCTGAACACAAATGAAATATTCTTTACTTCCAAATCTAAGATTTTTTTGCCAGATGTCTCCCTGCTACGGTCCACTAACCCCAGCATTCCTAAGGTCAGGGTGCAGCCCAGGGCTTGCAGAGGGCCCTTGGGATGAAACCCAGGCTCGAGGTTCTCCCCATCTTGGCTTCCCTGAAGAGGCTCCGCCTGCTGCCCAGTGTCTTCATACCCTCTGTACCTGACCCCTGTGTGGGTTTCATACCCCGGAGCCAGCTTCCAGAGAAGAGCGGCATAATTTCAGGCATTTTGACGCTCTGTGGTGTGTCTGACATACTGTGCAGCTTTATTAGAGTGAGGTCAGTAATCAGACCCTTTCTGGAATCCTTTTTGAAAGTAAGTTGGGTGTAAATTATACATGAATAGAAGGCTAGCCTTCATTTATTCTGAGTTCCACCTTTTAAAGCATTGTAAGAGGGGGCAGTTTGGGCACTATGAGACCTTCCAAAGGAGGAGTTCCTGCTTACATATTAGTGTTAATTGGAGTTAACTCAATATATTCCTTTCTCAAAAAGTCATCCTGTTGTTTCATAACTGCTAAGAAGTACTTCCTAAAATCTAAGGACTTCTGGGGCTCTAGGGAAAATAATGTTAGGGGCCTGAAGGTTGAAAATTCAACCATTATGCAGTATGGAAGTGAGAGCTGTTTATTTATAATTTCACTTCTGGAAGAGAACCACTTTTAACAGATTGATATTTGATCCC